CCTTTCACACCTCAAGGTCTCCTCTCACCTTCCTCACTTCCCCTCATCCACCCCACTTTTTATCCAGGTCACTGGATGATCCTGAGTGTCTCTTCCCACCTTGGAGATCCTGTGGTTTTCCCATCTCAGGAGAAGCAGGGACTTGTGTTTGGGGTTCTGTCTGTAGGAATGATGGTTCTCAAGAGTCCACTAAGGATGAAATCTTTTCCATGGAGACCCTTCCCAAAATAAAACCGTTTCCCAACCACTTTATAGAACAAAGTGTTCACCCCACAGCTCGGATCAGGATTCCCTGTAATGTTCATTTGCTGTAGATCCCATCCAAACCTTACCCAGTGGAAATTTTTGCATCACCTCCAAAGTTCTTGGGATGTCATTACAGCCTGGGACAGGATCATTTTGTTTTCCCTACATGAACAGTCTTGTTCCCACTTATCCCTGCATATTTCTGCTGGATGTTGGATCCTCCTGAGGAGAGCTGCTCATTAACAGGAATTTTCACCCTCCAATACCCCTTCCTTAAAGCCCACTTGTTGTTTTTGGAAAATGTTCAGTTCCTCCCATTGTTTTCCTACCAAATTTTCACTCCTGGATTCGTTCCCTGAGCTGGTGGCAGGATTTACCTTCGGAGCAGGGAAGTAGTTGGGCTCTGGGAATTCAGCTCCTTGCTGCCATGAATGAAGGATTTTAGGGGTGCTACTCTTCTGGCCCTGAGAGGCTCAAACCAGCTGCTCTTCCAGGTGAAATGTTCACTGTCCCTCCAGGAATGCTCTGGGAACAAAGCTGGCTCATCTCCATGAAACATTCATGGCATGGCAACAGGAAGCTCCTGCTTTGTGTGCTGGATTTTTCCCTCCGGGTTCCAGAGAAAAAGATCAGAAAAGAAGGAAAATATTTAAGGCTGCAGCAGAACCAGGTTTTAGTCATGAACTGAGAGCAGGGGATGAGCACCAGCTCCTTGGAATCTTGTCCCTGAATGGGAAAAATGAAAAAATCATCGGATCTTCATAGCCACATCTTCACCCAGTGCGAATCTGAGCTGCTCCAGTAGGACCAGGATAGACCACTGAGGGTCTGGTTATGGAATTCCTAAGTCCAGACATGCTCCAGATAATTTCAGTGAATAACTGTACACAGGTCACTGTTTTCCAGGTGATTTAGGGATGTCCAGTGTCTGAATGGATCTGAAAATCCTGGATAACTTGAATGACATCTGAGAGTTTCTCTTCCCAGAGCAGCTGGGGCTGCCCCTGGATCCCTGGCAGTGCCCAAGGCCAGGCTGGACATTGGAAGCAGCTGGGACAGTGGGAGGTGTCCCTGTCATGGGAATGGGATGAGCTTTAAGGTCCCCTCCAACCCAAACCATTCCATGATTCTTAGACACATTTTCTGTTTGAATAAATGGAATTCCTACTAAAGAACCTCTGTGTGTCTCCAGGGAAAATCCACAACCCATCTAAGGTGACTTTGATGTTCCTGAGTGGTGCCTGTGCAGAATTCTCTGCTTGTCACAGATAACTGCTAAAAGCACACATTAAAACCAGTTTTAAAGCAAGAAAACAGCTTGAAAGGAGTGTTTGAGCAGAACCCCATCTAAAGCACAGTAATGTTACCCTCACTTACTTCACTGCAGACTCCGAGGAGTAGGAGCTGTGGATAACAGCCACTCATCCCTTACATTTCCCCTCAGTCCCAAAGCTTCTCTCCCTGTTTTCCACAGTCCATGGAGCAGCCAAGCCACTCAGGGCCTTGCCAGAGGCCACTGCCCACTCCTTCCAGGAGCCCAGTGACGCAGCTGCACTCACACAATGGCTCCTTTTCCTCCTTGGATACAGCTCAGGAGCCATCCCAGTCTTTTCTTCCCTCTCCATCTGCAGAGAGTCATCACTGCTGGCAAGGACAGCGTGGAGTGTGATAAATCAGCATCCATCCCTCTCCAGCCTCTCCTGGAATTTGTCACTGCAGAGGGACATTTGTCACGGCTCTGACAGGTCAGGGATGGAAGCAGTGCTGCAGATATTTAGGTTCAGTCTGTTTTTCAAGCAGGACAAGCAGGCTCTGCAGTGCAGCTCTTCCAGGAGCTGTTCCAGCCTGGCAACAGGCTTGGGATGAGTCTGTTCCTTAATGTCCATCACCCACAGGGTGAGCCAAAGGAACAACAAAATAGGGGAGAGTGGATAAAGCAATCCCAGACTGGTTTGGGATTGGATTAAAGATCACCTCATTCCACCCCCTGCCATGGGCAGGGACACCTTCCACTATCCCAGGTTGTTATCCCAGGTTGTTCCACCCCTGGAAATGTCCCAGGCCAGGCTGGACATTGGGGCTGGGAGCACCTGGGACAGTGGGAGGTGTCCCTGCCATGGCAGAGCTGGCACTGGGTGGGCTTTGGGGTCCCTCCCAACCCAGTTCCTTCAGTGAGTCCATGATCTCAAGTCCAAGTCCAAGGTTCTTTTGACCTTGCATGATCTCAAGTCCAAGTCCAAGGTTCTTTTGACCTTGCAGGATAATTAGAATCCATCATTCCCCTCTGGGAAATGTTTGCATTTGTCACTTCTGTCACCCATGGGATGTCATTTCTTCCTGTCAAACCGTGTTGCCTCAGAAACTCCGGCTCCAGGTTTGTGTCTCGTGGTCGGAACAGCAAAGAACTCAGCTCTGCTCCAGAGATTTTATGGACAGTGATGGGAGATAATAAATGGATGCAGAACAGGGATGGCAGGATTTCAGGATTTCAGGAGAAAATCCTGCAGAGCAGAGCTGGCAGCAGACAGAGCTCATGGCTTCTGTGGGAGAAAACAAGGAAAGAGGAGTCTGAAAACAAATAATTCCAGACTGGGTTGGGTTGGGAGAGACCTTAAAGCCCATCCAGTCCCACCCTATCCCATTCCCACTGTCCCAGGAGCTCCCAATGTCCAGCCTGGCCTTGGGCACTGCCAGGGATCCAGGGGCAGCCCCAGCTGCTCTGGCAATTCCATCCCAGCCCCTGCCCACCCTGCCAGGGAACAATTCCTGCCCAAGATCCCAAGATCCAGCCCTGCCCTCTGCCCCTGGCAGCCATTCCCTGGCTCCTGGCCCTCCATACCAAAATCCAGATACAAATCCATGAGAAATGAGGCTCCATAATCTCAGTTATCCATGGAACAGCAATGTCTGTATGTTAGAGGCAACTTTATTCCCATGTTCTCAGATTTCCTGGAACCCAACCTCCTCTTCTGCCTGGGTTTAGGATATTTCTGGATATTCAGGATATTTTCAGGACTTGCTGTGTTTGTTTGGATTTCTGGATTTGTGGTAGATACAGGGAGACCTGGCCATGCTTTTGTCCATCCCAGATATTCCCACTGTAGGAATACTTCCATAAAATTGTTCCTCCTGGCAGAGGAACCTCAGAGTTCTGAGTCAGAGCAGAGATGCCTCAACAAGTGCTTCATTCCTGCTCTTCCCACATAATAAAACTGTTTGGGAAATGTTGGCTTTGCAGAATGTCCTGTGTATCCTGTGCTTCCATGTTCTCATTCCAAATGTCCATATTGTCATGCCCAGAAAACTGGAGAAGACATGGAAGAGCTTTCTATGGCTAACAAGGACATTCTGGGAGATTTTTCTGTAATCCAAATGTGAAAAGTGATATTGAGACTTAAGGAACAGAAAAGGAGAGGCAAAAAGTGATGGAGGCAGGGATGAGGGAACAGGAATTGTGAGGAGGATGGGAAGAGTCCAGGTCCAGTGGAGGAGCCACGGGCGAGGTGGGCAGGGAATTGGTTTGGGCAGAAGGATTTGGGCTCCTCTGGAATCTCAGTTTCCAACAGGAAATGTGTTTTATGTAAAGGAACAAGGGAAAATCAAAGGAGGGGTCTCAGCCAATCAACCTTGGAAAGCCTTTTATTCCAGGGGGGTTGGATCTGCTGGAATTTTCCCCTGGCAGGAGCAGGAGCAGGGCAGGGATTGTCCCTCTGTGCTGGCTCTGAGAGGCCCCTCCAGGGCTGGCTCCAGTTGTGGCTGGTGCAGGAGAGCCCTGGAGGGGCTGGAGCGTGTCCAGGGCAGGGAACGGAGCTGGGAAGGGGCTGGAGCCCCAGGAGGGGCTGAGGGAGCTGGGAAAGGGGCTGAGCCTGGAGCAAAGGAGGCTCAGGGGGCCCTTGTGGCTCTGCACAAGTCCCTGGCAGGAGGGGACAGCCGGGGGGGTCGGGCTGTGCTGCCAGGGAACAGGGACAGGAGGAGAGCTCAGGCCTCAGGCTGGGCCAGGGGAGGCTCAGGGTGGGCAGCAGCAGGAATTTGCCCATGGAAAGGGAGCTCAGGCCTTGGCAGGGGCTGCCCAGGGAGCTTTGCAGTGCCCATCCCTGCAGGTGCCCAAGGAAGGGCTGGACGTGGCACTCAGGGCTCTGGGCTGGGGACAAGGTGGGCATCGGGCACAGCTGGGACTCCCTGGGCTGCGAGGGCTTTTCCAGCACCAGGGATTTTGGGATTCTGGGATTCTCAGTCAGCAGCAGCCAGACAAACAAGGATTTTTTGTTTACATTGCAGATGGACAGAAGCAATTCCAGCTGCACTCAGCCTCCACAGCTGTTGGATCCAAGCCTTTCCCGGCTCCCAGAGCTCCGAGGTTTGGCTGGAGCTGGATCCCAGCAAGGGAGGGGTTAACCACACACCTGTGGGCAGCTCCTGAGGTGTTTTTTTTTCCCTGAACACATAATTAGGCTGTGAGCTCATTTACAGCCCATAATGAGGTCATTATGATGCCACCAGTCGATTTTGCCAGAGCTGGCAATCCCTAATCTGCTTCCTCTCCAGCAGCTCCCAAAGGAAGGGAGAAACCCAAACACCCATCCCATAACAATGCTCTTATTTGCACTGCTGGGGCCCCAAATTCCTTTGTTTATTCCCCCTCTTTCTGATGGGTTTTCCATAACAAGGAACACTCGGGAGATCCATGCAGCACGAATCCACTCTGCCTTTTCCTTTTCTGCCTTTTATTTTCTCTCCATCTTTGTTGCTGGCTCCTCCAGGTCCTGGAAGGCCTCAGTTGGGTTCCTCTGGTGCTGGGGCACTGGTGACAGGCTTTTTGTGGCTCCTGAAGTGGGATCCAAAGGAAAATTCCAGCTCATGGAAGGGAGGGCAAGGAGGACCCTGTGGGCAAGTGCAGACTGAAAGAGGAAAAAGCAACAAGTCCATCCTGGGCTGCTTTTAAAGCAGATTCTTTCTGGATTTATCTGTGGCACACCCTGCCCAGCAGGAGGGAAGAGGAGAAACCTCAGAATTCCAGCAGAACCAGCCAAGGTGACTCTTGGAATGGCTTTGAGCACTTAACTCACTGCTGGGAACCCTCTGGAGATGCAGTTTCCGAGAGAAATGGGCACTGCAGCGTGGGGGAAAGGGGAAATCCAAGGTGGGGAATGTCCCTGCTCCATCCCTGGGGACTGTGGGGAAAGGAGAAATCCAAGGTGGGAAAAGGGGGAATCCAAGGTGGGGAAATGTCCCTGCTCCATCCCTGGGGACTGTGTGGCTCACATGGCAGAACTCTGGTCACATCCAGCCCAGAGTGGCCCTGGCAGCTGTGGGGTCCCTCCTGCACAGGGATCTTTGGGATTTGTCCCTGAAAACAACTGGGGAGCCCAGCAGGACATGAAGGATGATCCCACCTGGGATGTTTGTTCTCCTTCGGGTGTGGAACTGTTCCCAGAGCCCCTGACCAGCACTGGAACTCCCAAAATCCCTCTGGAGATGGCTCCTCATCCTTCCCGAGAGCCAGGAATGCTGAATTTATCACTTATACCCAACAGATGAGCGCTAAATCCATCCTTTGCACCCGGACACGAGGGAGATCCGTGACAAAGCTTCCATGGAAAAGCAAAACACACCCAGGATCCCAACAAGGCCCTTTTGTGCTGCTGTGTTCTGACCAAAACGAAGCTGCACCTTCTGGCTGTCCAGGCTGACATCCAGGCAGCTGGAAGCTCTCAGGAAAACTTGGAAGCTGCCAAGTCACCATTTCCAGGTGGGAAAGGGGCCATTCCCAGGGGGAAAAGGAGTGACAGATAAATAACCAAAATAACAGATGTGTGGCAGCCCTTCAGAGCAGGGAAACTGAGACTCCTGGGGAGGAACTTCAGCTGCAGCAGAGCTGCTCCAGGGGCTCCAGGAGAGCTGGAAGGGGATTTGGACAAGGGCTGGAGGGCCAGGACACAGGGAATGGCTGCCAGTGGCAGAGGGCAGGATTTGATGGGATCTTGGGCAGGAATTGTTCCCTGGCAGGGTGGGCAGGCCCTGGCACAGGGTGCCTAGAGCATCACATTATTACTAAACACTTAAAATACACCTGAAAAAAATATCCTATGGATTCATCCTATTGTTTGTAATTATCCAATAGGCAAATTATCCTGTGTTTTTAAAATATGTTTACATCCTGTTTATTCAGCATGACCTGAGTCCATGAAATAGCCAAAGGGTTTTGTTACTGCATCATCTGCAGCATTCCTGCTGCTGCTGCACCTCCAGGCTCGGAGCCAGCTGGGTTTATGTGGCACTGGTGGCAGCACAAACTGGCCTTTGGAAAGATGGAACTTCTCTCCTTATCCTGCAAATTTGGTTGAGAAAACTCCACATTTAAAAGGAGCCAAAGCTGCTGCTTCAGGAGTGACTGGAATGTCCCCTCCGTGCCCCTGATTCCTTTCACGTCCCTCAAGGTTATGATTTTTTAAATTATAATTAAAAAAACCAGCTCATCTTAAGAGGATCAGTGAAATGCCAGCTGTGAATTGTGATTCCTGCCTGGATTGCCATTTTCTGGATGGGTTTGGAGTCATGGAAAGGGGAGCTTTGGGAAGTTCAGCTACAACAGGACCTGGCTGTGGTCCCCTGGTGCAGGAAGCCACCCTTGGCTTGGTGGCTGCTCAGGGGAGGGATGACCTTCCAGCCCTGCTGGGCATCCCTTGGTCTCATCCTGCTCCTAAATCCCTCTGGAAGAGAAACCTCACCCTCTGGAAGCTGATCCTTGAGAAAATCCCGTGGGACTGGCAACCCTGGAAGTGCCAATTGGGGTTTTGTTACAGAAGGAAAGCAAAATGGGTTTTTTCCCCTCCATCAAATGACATCCTAAATGTTGTCTCCTCCTTGTCCACAGGGCATGGAACAGTTGGGATTGTTTGGATCACAAAATCCAATTAAAGCAGGCAGAGAGGTTGGGCTGAAGGCTGCTGCTCCCTTTCCTGCCAGCACCACCCACCTCCCTTCCCTGGAAAAGCCAAATCCCATTACCCCAGGTGGGAGCAGCTCCTCCCTGCTCGGGCCAGCCAACCCTGGAGGGTGGAAAAGTCCTGCAGCACCATTCCAGCATCTCCCTGTCCCCACAGCACCATTCCAGCATCTCCCTGTCCCCACATCCCACGCTCCCTGCGAGCTGGAGCTGCTCAGAGCTTCCTGTTTGGGATTGGAAGCAAATATTGCCCTTGGTGTGCTCCCAGCACAGCTCCAGGAGTGCTGGGCAACTTCTGCTGGCTGTTCTTCCAAACATCATCCAGGGGCACAGCCAGATCCTGCAGAAGAGGAGGAAAAAACACTGGAATTGCAGCCATCCAGGGGCACAGCCAGATCCTGCAGAAGAGGAGGAAAAAACACTGGAATTGCAGCTCTGTGGATACAGAAAGTCCTGGTTGGAATTTCACTGGAAACCTCTGGGTTTGAGCAGCTCCACAGCAGCCTCTGCCCACCTTGGGGGACTCCAGCTCCTGGAGGAGCTCCTGGCAGCACACTGGAATTCCAACAGCATTTATGTGGTTGTGTGAAGCTCCATCAGGTGTTTCCCAGCTCTCTGAGCCCCCTTTTCACCCTGGGGGAATTTTGGGATGGGATTTTCCTGCCCCAGCTGTGGGAAAAGAGGAAGGGTGGAGAGTAACAGGGAAGAGCAGAGCAGATACAGAACCATGGAATGGGTTGGGATGGAAAGGATCTTAATGATCATCTCATCCCAGCCCTCCCATGGCAGGGACACCTCCCACTGTCCCAGCTGCTCCCAATGTCCAGCCTGGCCTGGGCACTGCCAGGGATCCAGGGGCAGCCCCAGCTGCTCTGGCAATTCCATCCCAGCCCCTGCCCACCCTGCCAGGGAACAATTCCTGCCCAAGATCCAGCCCTGCCCTCTGCCCCTGGCAGTCATTCCCTGGCTCCTGGCCCTGCAGCCCTTGGCAATTGTCTCTCTCCAGCTCTCCTGGGGCTCCTTCAGGCCCTGCAAGGCCACCCTGAGCTCAGCCCAAAGCTTCTCCTGGCCAGGCTGAACAATGGCAGCTGTGCCAGCCTTTCCTGCCAGCAGAGCTGCTCCATCCCTCTGCTCATCCTGGAGCCTCCTCTGGGCTCTCTCCAGCAGCTCCAGCTGCTCCCTGGGCTGGGCCCCAGGGCTGGGGCAGCTCTGCAGGTGGGGTCTCGCCTCAGGGGGCTCAGGGCACAATCCCAATCCCTTTCCTGCTGCCCAGGCTGGGGCTCAGCTCAGAATAATCCCAATCTCTGTTCTGTTCCAAGAATTCAAGGCTCTGACCTTCTCCAATCCATGACTCATGTGCTCCCAGGAAGGTGAAGGTTTGAGGATTAATGAGCTGCCTCATTGTCCGCAGCCCTCAAAGCCTCTGCAGTGAGCTCAGCTGAAGCCCTTGGCGCCATTCCCAACACTTGATCCCAATCACAGCTCTGCACCTGGCCCAGCTTTCTGCTTGGGACAAAATGTGACCAAATTTATTGTGGCAGTTTTGTTTTCTCCCTTTCCATTCACCTCTTCTTCCCCTCGGAGTTCAAGGGATCCTGCCTAGGATGGGACCCAAACAGCATCAATGGAAGGGATTGTGCAGGAGCAGGAGGGAGCGGGAGCGTCCAGCTGTATCCTGCTTTCCTGCTTTGATGTCCTTGGCTGGACAGGGATGCATGATTCAGACCACCCACGGGAGAAGGGATCAGGAATCCAGCATGGAACACCTGGGAATTCTGTGTCCTTCACTGCCTGCACAGGGACAGCAGCAGGGAGCGGCTGCAGCTGGCCCAGCAGGGATTTAGGTTGGCTTTTAGGGCAAGGCTCTTCTTTCCCCACAGGCTGCTGGCACTGCCCAGGCTCCCCAGGGAATGGGCACGGCCCCGAGGCTGCCAGAGCTCCAGGAGCATCCAGGGATGCCCAGGCTGGGCTTGTTGGGGGCTCTGGGCAGGGCAGGGGGCACTGGGGGATCCCTGGGGGTTTATTCCCCACAGGAATTCCATAACTCCCATAAGTGGGTCCCTTCCAGCTCAGGATATTCCATAATTCCATTATTTGGCAGCCCTGGAGGGACCTCTCTGGAGGTGAATCCGAGCAGGATTTCCACTCTCTGCTCACTCTGGTGGGGTTTCCCACATTGTGCTTTAAACTCCCCTTGGTTTTGTGATTTTATTTTTCAGTCTTGCTTTTCTTTCCAAGTGGGAAAGGCACCAGGAGCCTCAAGGCTGCTCAGAGAGCACTTTGAGGGTGATGCTCATCCTTTATTCATCACTCTTTCAGTAGCATGGACTTAGATTTCCACATTAGCATCCCTTTAATACCGAGAGAGCTGAATGATAGAGAAAAAAACACTCTAAAAAACTGTGGGCACGAAGAAAACCCCGAGTTAAAGGCAGCTTATCATGCCCAGCTGCTGCTTATCACCAATGCTCCATCTGCTCCATCTGCTTAGCATAAATAATTCCTTGATTTTTTATTTTTTATTTTTTATTGGTGTCCTATGGTCCATCCAAACAACGAGCAAAAAGAGAAATTGTAAATAAATTTTACAGTGTCACTAACAGCATTTCACATTATGGGGAACTATTTTGAGGTGATGCCAGTTCTTAATAAATTGCATTTATTCGGGTGTTTTTACTAGGAGAAAAGAAGAAAAAAGCAGGAACAATGGAAGAATGGAAAATGCTTCATCAGTCCTTTTAATAATAAATATTTCCAGGCTGTTCTCCTCACAAAGGAAGGGCCAAGGGTTTTATTTTTGCTTTTTTTGTGTGTCCATCTGAAAGGCAGGGGCATAAAAAAGCCCCTGAGGCAGCTGGCTGAGCTCCCTTCCCGCAGTTTTCCTGGGATTGTTGTGCCATGGTGCCAAGCCTGGGGCTGAACAGGCACCTTGGGCTCACCTGGCTGATCCAAACTCAGCCTTTGGAAGCTTTCCCAGCTGCTGAATTCCCCTAAGGACCAGCACCGCTCCTTAGGACAGCAGGATTTCCCCAGAAGGATTCCCAATGTCCCAATTCCCAGTTAATTTTTCGGAGATGGGATCCCATTTCACCAGGAATTCCACCCAACCATCCCCATGTTCCCCTGGAGTTGGAGCTCCTCCATCCTGAAGCAGCATCTCCTGGGTGCTCCTGATTGAACTCTCCAGGACAACGTGGATTTTGCAAGGAAATTTCTGAATAGCAACGAGATTTCATGGAAAACCCCAATTTTGGGCAGCACAGATTCCCACAGAGTTCCTGTCACTGAATATGGGAATGGGGTTCACTTTCCAGAGGGAACAGCAAAGTTCCTTTCTTTTCCTCTTTTACCAATTATTAATTTATACTTTAGGGATGAGATAATTGATCTGTGTCTGTTTTACAGCCCTCATGTGTTTAATTTCTGCTTGCAGGGATGCTGGGAAGCTTTGTCTGGCATCTCCAAACCCAAAGGCATCCTGGTATCACAGGAGTGGAATGTGTGGCTGTCCCAGAAATGTGACATTGGAATTATGGATATCCCATCAGGGTTGGAAAATCCAGTCCCAGGCTGAGCTTGGCAGGTCCTGGACAATCAGGCAGGAGCAGGAAAACACTGGAAAAATTTCCAGAGGATTCAGCTTTCAAAGGGAAGGGAAGAATCAAAGAATCATGGAATAGTTTGGGTTGGGAGGGACCTCAAATCCCATCCCATTCCAGCCCAGCCATGTCAGGGACACCTCCCACTGTCCCAGGAGCTCCCAATGTCCAGCCTGGCCTTGGGCACTGCCAGGGATCCAGGGGCAGCCCCAGCTGCTCTGGCAATTCCATCCCAGCCCCTGCCCACCCTGCCAGGGAACAATTCCTGCCCAAGATCCCAAGATCCAGCCCTGCCCTGGGATCTTGGGACTGTCCATGGAGAACGTTGCCATCCTCTCTCTGTCTGATGTGGCATCTGGAGCTGCACTCAGGGAGTTTGGGGTTTGTGCAGGAAGGGTGATTTTTCCAACAGGGAAAGGGCAAATCCTCCAGGAGTGGGAGCAGAGGAGCCTGAGGTCAGAGCTCCCGAGGGGCAGCGCAGGGACAGCTCCGGGCTCTGCTCCTGCCACAGGGACAGCAGCAGGGAGCGGCTGCAGCTGGCCCAGCAGGGATTTAGGTTGGCTTTTAGGGCAAGGCTCCTCTTTCCCCAGAGGCTGCTGGCACTGCCCAGGCTCCCCAGGGAATGGGCACGGCCCCGAGGCTGCCAGAGCTCCAGGAGCATCCAGGGATGCCCAGGCTGGGCTTGTTGGGGGGTCTGGGCAGGGCAGGGGGGCACTGGGGGATCCCTGGGGGTTTATTCCCACTCAGGATATTCCATCATTCCATGATACCCCACTGACTGACCCCCACAGCCCCTGGGCCTGAAAGAGCTCTTTGCCTTTTGCACAGCCCAAAAATGGCTTTTAAAATGCAATAAGGGCCCAGTGATCCAAAGGGAATCAGAGCCCTTGGATGTGCTCCAGGTTTGCTTGGTGGGGCAATTCTAACGAGTAACTAATTGCTAATTACATGTGCTGAAACACCCTGGTCCTTCCCTATCGACCAAGAACTGGGAGTTTCTCTTGGGCTTGGTTTTTATCCAAACCTTGGCCCTGTGATCTGGACAGGGCATTCTGTGCCTGATTAATTGACTGCATTGTCTTGGGTGAGTGTTGATTAATTGCTGAATTCCAGATCAATTTTAACAAAGCTCCCACTGCTGTTTTAGGGCCACGGGGGGCCCCCTTATTCCTTTGGCTCCATGGGATCAGTGTTTTGTTGGACCTCAATAAGAAAACTCCTGGCACAGCTTCTCACAAGTGAGGAGACAACAGAAGAGCTTGAGCAGACAACAAACTTTATTAAACTCACATGGACACCCGTTAAAAAAAGAGAAATATTGGAGCAAGCTGCTCACACTCCTGGGCCAAGAGCAACAAAATTCCAGTTCATGAGGAACTCCCAATCCAGGTGCACTTAGGGAAAAAGGGAACTGCAGCTGGTGCGGGGCAGTAAAGCAAAATAAAAAGGAAAATAAACAGCAGGTCTTGAGGAGGAGCAGCCCAGAAACCAACCCTGGGCTGCAGCAGGGCCACTCTGCCCCTGTGCTCAGGTGAGACCCCAC